CTTACCCCCCCCCCAGGGGGGGTCCCAAACCTTCCCGGGCCCTTCCTTTTTCATTTCCCGGGGGGGCCGGGGGGGGCCCCCCCGTTTTTAAATGCTTGTGGGGGGGATGTTGAAAGGGGGGATTCGGTTTTTTTTTTTTTTGGGGTTTGGGCCCCCAGCTGGGGGCCTTTATATTTCCTTTCGGGGGGGTCCCCCCCATATTGGGATTTTGGGGGGGGCGGTTTTGGTTTTTGTTTCCCTCCCAAAATTGGCCCCCCCTTTTACCCAAAAGCCCTGCCCGGGAACCCGTTTCTTTTTAGGAAGGGCCGTCCAATTTTTTGGGTTTCCCCCCCCCCCCCCCCCCCCATCTTCTTGCTTTAGAGTCTAGGCAGGTATTGCAGACACACGGACGATCGGTGTGCTTCTCGCGAAAAAATCTCTCCTCGAGTAGGAAGGTGAAAATTCAAAAAGCGCTTGTTGTTTGGTTGTTTCCCACATGATCTTCTCGAGTCGAAAAATCCGTGGGGGCTTCTGGTCACCGATCGAGGCGCGCTCGACGCCACTAGGAACGTATGCGAGAATACTCGGGGCTGGTGACGGTTCTTGGGCGCAAAATCAAGCATTGGTCTAGGAAACCAGGCGAAATAGAGAGAAGTGGGAGGGGGGTGCGAAGATTCCCGCACCCGCCCACGGGCGCACAAAAAACATTTTCCGGACACCTAACCCCAAAAAATGTTTTGGGCCCCTCCAGGGGGGAGGGGGGGGGTACGAAGGTCTCATCCCCCCCCCAAACGCCACACAGTTTCCTATATAAACGAGAACATACTAAATCCTATTCATAAAGGGGGCACATTTCATGCAAGGGGTAGTGCAATCCACGTAGCCCCTGCTCCAGCGTACCGCAGCCCGGTACCGTCCGTCGCAGAGGAGAGAAAGAGAGAGAGCGAGAGTTGAGGAGAGTGGTCACGATGAGCACACTCTCCGTTGGAGGAGGATGGAGGGCGAAGGCGCTCGACGCGAAAGCGCTGGAAGAAACGACGGTTTAGTCTTGTTGAGGGAGGTGGAGGGGCTTCGGGGAGTGAATAGTGAGTGCAATGCAAGGCATATTGCAATTGAATTGTGGATGGGTGTTGCACGTGGCGAAGGTGAGGCCACCGCCGTAGGCTCATCGACAGCCCCTCTTCGGTATGTTGCCGGCTCGAGTAAGCTTGGAATGATGACGTTTCGACGCATGTGGGTATGTGTCATTTGTTTCTGGTGTGTCATTTGGTTGTGTCATTTCGCCATGTTCGCCCAAGGTCAAACGTGGTGGACTTTTCGTAGAACCTTTGAGAAGTTCTGATTTGCTTGTAGAGGTGAGGGGTTGTCCCCAAGCACTACTGCTGTACGTCAAGACTTGAAAACCAAATTAGAAGTGTCCCCAGCCCGTCACAGATTCTTGCATGAAGTAGCAATCTACACCTTCCTGGTAACAAGGTCCTGCGTGCACGTCGTGCCGTAAACACCACCACACGCATGCACACGCAATGGAGAGGGAGAAAGCCAAGAAGAAAGCCTGTACAAACATTTTCCAAAACAAAAACAAAAATTCCACACCCCTCCCGGGAGGGGGGGTTAGGTGTCGGAAAAAATGTTTCTGTGCGCCCTTGGCCCGCCCACAAAATCGGGGACGTAGGCTGCCGAACAGACACCGCAAACGGGGCAAATTTGCCCTTCAGAGGCCCACGTATGAATGGTGGGAAGCTAGAGCGAGGGAAGAAGGAGGCGGAAGATTTTCGCAGTGGCTTTGGAATCACACCGACGCACACAAGCAAATCAAAGCCCCAACGACAAGGAATACCTCACCCAAGGCTTTCCTGGTAGAGTGACAACGCAGACCAGGACGGATTGGTGCTAGTAGGACACCGTTGATACGTGGTCAGTACGTGATGAACCCGAAAGCAGCACTGTTGTATTTCTGGTACGGGGCCAATGACAAGGCTGTCAACACATGTGTTCGAGCATGACCGTCAAGCAAAGCATGTGCTCACCACTCATGACACCACAGCCTAGGAAAATAATGATTTGCCCTATCCAGCACGAGTTCAACGCCTTTTCATTCATTGCTCCCCCGCATTAG